AGCAGATTCAAGCCGAAGGCGAACCGCAGGGGCTGCCGAACGCGATGGTCACACTGAGCTGGACCTACATACCGCCGCGAGCGGCACAGCCCCGCTGGCCAGCCTGCGCCGATATTCTGGCCTCCATTCTGAAGCACCCGAAGTTCGCCGAGTACCTCGAGCAGTGGCTCGTGCACGTTGACCTGGCCAGCCTTGCGCCCCCCTCGGCGTTGGCCACGCCACCCGCCGCCGCCATGCTCCAGCAGGTCGGCCGCTGGGTGCGCGACGTGGCGCCTGCGCGCCGCCGCTGGCGGCGAGCACTCCACCGCCGTGCTCTGGCGACAGGCCGCGCGAGTGGCGTGGGACCCAGACATGCGACGCCCTGATTTTTTCAGGACGGCGCCCCCGGAAGTCCAGACCCTGTCCCCGTGGCCGGGTTTTCATCCCGAGTCGTTTTTGACGGTCCCGTGGCCCGGCGAGGGCCCCCAGGGGCCGAACATAGCGAAAAGAGTGCCGCCCTGATTTTTTTTTTAAACCACGCGATCATGTCTGGGGAGCTGTGCCGTCCGGGCAACTGCTGGCCCGGCATTCTCCGTGGCTGGGGCAGCTCCTGGAGAGCCGCACGGGCCCACCCCGGCGCCGTGCTCCGCCTGCCGGCCAAGCCCCAGCGCCGGCACGACGTGGCCAACCGTCGTGGAGCCCAGCCGCTGGCAGCTTTCAAGCCGGGCCTGTCCCTCTACAGGGGGAATATTCAAATATAGTCACAACATAGTTTGGGAACGATACATATATATATATATATATGGATTGAAATATGTTGGGGTATGTGTTGCCATTTTTTTCATTTTTCGTCCAGGATCGGCCTGTAAGGGGGACAGGCCCGACTCTATGGTGGCTGCCCGGGCGAGCGGGGGAGCAGCACCACCCAGCTCAGTCCGCCAGCCGGGAGCGCGAGGAGGCACCCGCTCCGCGGGCGGCGGCAGGCGAGCGCGAGGCCTCGCGCGCGCCCCTCCGCCGGCAGCGCTCCCCGGCGGGCGCCGGTGCTGGGCGGCGAGGTGCGCCGCTCGGAGCCGGCACGCGAGGCTGCGCAGGCCTAGAGGTTGACACCAACACCAATGTATTAACGGGCGAAGAACGGTATAAAACAAAAAAAAACAAACTTTTTCGCCGTCGGGGGCGCCTGCCCCTGGGCGGCTGGGAAGTTTATACCCTTACGGTGGCACCGTAGGGGTATAAACTTTCCAGCCGCCCAAAGGCAGGCGCCCCCGACGGCGAAACAGTTTATTTTATACCGTTCTTCGCCCGTTAACTATCGGCGGTGCGCCTCCACCGAGGAAAGAAGATCCCGATCTCGGTGATGGTTGCAGTATCCTGGCTTCCAGGGTGACCGAAATGTTACCACCAGCACCCGAGATCTAGGAGCATCTTCCCCATGCGGAGGCAACCCCCCTGTGTTGGTGCCGGTGCCCATTTCCAGGCCTCCAGAAGGTCTGCCGCCGTCCAGGAGGGGGGGATTGGGAAAGGGGGGGTTTGGGAAAGGGGGGGTTACGAAATTTGCTGCATGCAGCTGGTTTCGGCCCCACCGAGGAGCCCATTCCTCGATACGTGGGCGCCCTCCGGCGCCGGGAGCCGCCGGGAAAATCAGCTACGTGAGCTGATTCTCAAACCCCCCCCTTTGCTATCCCCCCCTTTCGCCCGACCCGACATTTCCAGGCCTCCAGAGGCTGCGCTTGCCGGCCGCTGGGGCGCCGCTCCAGGCGGCCAGGGCGCGCTCCCCCGGCCTCGCCGCGGGAGCAGCGGCGCCTCGGGCGCCGCCCGTCCGGCGCCCCGCGTCGAGCACTTCGGCTGGGGGGGGGTGCTGCGGCGGGCCCGTCGTGCAGGGCTGCTCCTCCTCCTCCTCCTCCTCCTCCTCCTCCTCCTCCTCCTCCTCCTCCTCCTCCTCCTCCTGGAGGTCGCGGCCCCTGGGCCTCACGGCCTGCCCGCGCGGGCTCGGACACGCCCCGAGCTCGCGGCAGTGCTCCTCCGTGCGAGGAGGCCGCAGCCGCAGGGCTTGCCGCTCCACGCCGACTCGAGCGGGGCCGTCGGCGCGTTCCTGCGGAAGGGGGTCAAGGACGCCGACGGCGACGAAGGGATCATCCGCGCTCCTGCGGATGCTCGGCCGCCGGCGCTGCGCAACACCCCCGTGAAGGCCATCACCGCGGTGGCCAACCGCGCATCTGGGCCGCGCGGTGGCGGCGGGGGCGGTACCCGCGCAACAGGGGTTCGTCCCTGGCCGAGCCCCTGCGCGCAACCCCGCCCAGTTCCACTCGCTGCTCCGGGAACTCTCCCCGATCGCGCCGACTGCCCAGGACGAGGCTGACGGTGGCGCCACCAGTGACCGCGTGAATGCTCTCAGGTCCTGCCGCCCTCTGCTCCCTGATCGAGTTCGCCCCCGACCAGCGCGTCCTGCTGGACCGCGGGGGCGATGGGCACGGCCGCGGAGGCCTTGAGGCCAGCGGCCAGCGTCCGGCCTGCCGATGGCGCTGGCGACTCTGCGGCGTTCGTCTTAGACCTTAGACCAGGACGGCATCTTGGTCCTGCGCCGCGTCTTCGGGGCCGCCGAGACGCCAGCGGGCCCGGTGCTCAGTTTGGCGGAGTGCCAGGCGGCCCCCCTGTGGAAGGCGAGGAGGCGAGGCTCTGGCTGGCCACGGTCGTCGCGGCCTGGGGCGTCTTCGAGGTGAGCGGCGCAGTGCGGGTCCTCGGAGTCTGGCTCTGCCCGTCCGCCACCTCGGACCTGCAGCGGCGTACGCCGGCGGCCAAATGGCAGGGTCGCACGTCTGCGCGGGCGGTCTGTTCGCTCGACGCCGCCACGTTGCTCCAGCAGTGCGCCAGCCGAGCGGCGCCGGCGCTGGACTCGCCTAAAGGGCCGGAGGCGCCAACCGAAAGGGAAAGAGAGGAGCACGAGGCTGCCGGACACGTGGTGCACCGAAACTGGTGTCATCATTGCGTGTCTTCTCGTGCAGTAGACAATCCTCACCATCGAGCTCCCGAGGAGCCGGAAAACGCTGTGCCTACTATCATGTTGGATTACATGTTTATGGGGCAGGCTGGTGAGGAAACGATGCCTATGTTGGCAATCAAGGACAAGAAAACCAAACGTCCTTGGTGCACGGTGATCGAGAGGAAGGGTGAGGACCCTTTCGCGATCAAATTCCTGGCGGAAGCAATCCGCGAGACAGGGTACAGGCGAATCATCCTAAAGTCGGATGATGAACCAGCCATACTGGCCCTGAAGACCAAGACCCGGGAGCAGCTGGCAGACGTCGAAGTCGTCATGCAGGAGGCTCCGACGGGCGACCACCGAGCGAACGGTGAGATCGAGGCCATGGTGCGTGAGTTGAAGCGCACAATACGTGCCCTGAAGAGCAGCGCCGAGGAGAAACTAAAGCTGAAGTTGAAGGACACAGATCCTTTGCTTGCCTGGATTCCGAGACACGCAGCGTTCCTGATGTCTCGATTCCGCGTAGGAGAGGACGGGAAGACCCCCTACGAACGAGCCACTGGGAAGAAGTGGCGACGTCCCCTGGTGCTCTTTGGAGAGCGTCTGTTTTTCAGACCGGTTAAGACTACGAATCGCAAGCACGATTTCGAGTCGAAGGTCTGTGTCGGCAATTACGTCGGCACGCACGGCAGGAATGCTGATGTCATGGTCATGATTGAAGAAGGCGTCGTGAAGGGCACCAGTATCCACAGGAAGCCTGAACCTGACCGGTGGGACAACACGGTTTTGTCGAAGCTGAGAGGTCTGCCATGGAACCCGCGGCCTAAAGAACGCGAGGTCATGGCGGCACCCATGCCTGTGGAGGTGCCAGCCGTAGCGGCACCTGCAGTCGAAGCTCCACCGGCCCCTGTGGCACTGAGAGATGTGGCCAAAGCTCTGTACGTTAAGCGTGCAGATATTGACAAGCACGGCATTTGGCCGGGTTGCAAAGGGTGCACGTCTCTGATGACAGGAATGCACCAACAGGCTCACTCGATCATGTGTCGAGCACGGATTCAGGAAGAGCTGATGAAGACAGCTGCAGGTAGACAGCGCGTTGAAGAGGCGAAAAGGAGGAGGAGTCCCGAAGAGGCCTCCGAACCAGTGGTAGAAGACAGGCCAAATCCCCTAGAAGGGGAAGTGGCGGCCGAAGAGGCAGCAGGAGCGCCCAAGGCCGTAGAAGAAGGAGGCCTAGGAGGAAGGAAAAGAGGACGAGAAGGAGGAGAACAGGAAGGAGGGGCGCCAGAAGCGCCAATGGCCGTAGACGCGGCAAACGCGGCGGGCGAGGCAACGGCTCCAGGTGTTTCGCCCGGGGTTGTTGCGCTACGACACAATCCCGCGCAAGAAGGGGTTTCTGCAGGATCAGCAGGGCCAGGCAGGAACGAGTCCCATCGCGATGTCGAGATGGGGCAGGCTGGCTGCTTGTGCAGCTTGGCGGAGGCAGTGGCCGAGGCGTGCCACATAGCGAGCATTGCGGTCAGCAGTGCTGATGTTTCGAGTATGTGTGATGTCCTGAGTACTTTGGGACATGGCAGGTTCGATGCTGCAAGCATCGTGAATCCTCCCTCCGCGTCGGTGAACGGGAACGACGTTCAATCAGGCATATTTGGTCTAAGGCCAGGTTTCGCGCTCGACGCTGCCGTGTGCGATGTTCTCCAGAAGGGACATGCGACCAAAGTGTGGGATCTGTCTGATCAGGGACACGTGATCCAACTTCAGGCAGCACTGAACGATGAAGACCCATACGTCTTGGTATTGAGGCCACCGCTTGAAGTTTTCAGCGGAGTGGTGAACGGAAAAGGTGCCTGCAGCGAGGAACGCGCGAGACGCGCGATGAAGGTAATTGTTGATTTGTGCATTGAACGACAAAACAAAAGAAAATATTACCTTCTAGAGAGACCCGTTGGCATGCCCGGCTGGGCAGAGCAGGAGTTCGCAAGACTCGACGGCATACAGACTGTAGGGCCGAAGTGTCGTTGGACCGTTCAGAGCCAGAGCGAAGGTACCTACATGCGAAAGAGCACTGTTTGGGTCACTAATTTTCAACACCTTGCCGAGTTCATCCGGCAAGAACCCGAGAGAAGAATGGGTGTAACTTGGCACAGGCGCGTCGTTGAAGTCGACGGTCGGCTCGTAGAGAGCGGCCGGAAGCCCTGGGCAATCCAGGTCGCCATCCTCACTTCGATGTTGCGCGCTTCAGAGGAGAAGGGTGAGATGTGTTCCTTCGGGCAGGTTGTTGGAGCCGGACCTGTGCCAGAAGAAGGGGCAGAGATAGAGGAAGAACCTGGTGTATACTTCGACGATGTCACCGGGGCAGAGCTGAAACCCGATAAGGTGAAAGAAGCCAGAGAGACCGAATTAGAGTGGATCAGAAAACAAAAGGTCTACGTCAAGGTCCCCATCAAGCAGTGTTGGGACCGAACGGGCAAAGGCCCGATGTCCCTGAAGTGGGTGGACACGAACAAATGCGACGACACTAACGAAAAGTATCGTAGCAGGCTCGTGGTTCGAGAGATCAGAAAGAACGGAAAGAGAGCACTGCCGGACCACGAGTTGTTTAGTTCGATGCCCCCGCTTGAATCACTGAAGATGCTGTGCTCTATGCTGACCACGCTGAAGGTGAGCAAAGGGCGGAGGAAGCATCTGAAGCTGAAGCTGTTCGACATATCCCGTGCCCATTTCTATGGTGTTGCCAAACGGGAGGTTTACGTGTCTCTCCCGGAGGGAGACCAACAGGAAGGATATTGTGCGCTGTTGCAGCGCTCGATGTATGGCACGCAAGACGCGTCGGCCATCTGGCAGGATGACTACACCAGCCTCCTCGAACAGAACGGCTTTAAACGAGGACGTGCTAGCACGGCGGTGTTTTATCATGCAACAGAGGACATAAGGATCCTGGTGCATGGTGACGACTTTGTCGTTTTAGCTGACGAAGACGGGCAGCAGAAAGTAGAAACACTACTCCGTGCACGGTACGATCTTAGACTAGAAGGGTGTGTTGGCCCAGAGGCCAGCGACGGCACAGAGATGTGTGTGCTGAACAGAACGATCAGGTACAACAAGGAGAACGGCGTGGTTGAGTACGAGGCAGACCAGCGCCACGCTGAGCTGATCATCGAAGCACTGGGATTAGAGAAGGCGATAGCCGTGACAACGCCAGCCGAGAAGAAAACGGCTAGCGCCGTGTCGGCGGCACTGTCGCTGCCGAAGGTGGATGAAGAGCGACAGAGGTTCTACAGGTCTTTGGTCATGAGGGCGTCCTATCTAGCACAGGACAGGGCGGACTTGTGCGAGTGCGTCAAGTCACTTGCTCGAAAGATGATTGGACCGACCGAAGCGGACTTCGCAGACTTGAAACGTCTAGGTCGTTACCTGGTGGGCAGACCCCGGGTAGTTCTGCGCTTTGAACCATAAAAGATGTACAAGGACATCACTGTCTATTCAGACTCAGATCACGCAGGGTGTCTTGTCACACGAAGAAGCACCACGGGCACAGCCGTGCTCATGGGCAAACACTGTGTGAAGGCATCGTCTGGACTCCAAAGCACCATCGCTCTCTCGAGTGGTGAGAGCGAGTTCTACGGAATCGTCAAAGCTGCTTCAATTGGTTTGCAAGTTCAAGCGCTGCTAGCCGATTGGGGTTATAATGCAAATATGACGGTGCTCACAGACAGTAGTGCTGCACGTGGCACCTGCGCCCGGCGAGGGCTGGGGAAGCTGAGGCATGTGCAGACCCGCTACTTGTGGGTCCAGGAAAGGGTGGCGCGAAGTGAGATCGATGTGCAACAGGTAGGGACAAAGAACAACATCGCAGATATGCGCACGAAACCTGTCAACGGAGATTCCCTCACAAAGTCTATGAAGATGTCGAGCCACTATTTTCTGAGCGGCCGGGCGGCGACAGCAAAGCATTTAGTGAAGGTGTAGGTATAGTAGCGCACTCGGTTCAGGTCAGCAGAACCTCCCGCGAGGAGGAGTGTTCGAAGATCCTTGTGTATAGCACTGTGTACTGATTCTGTCTTAGGGCTTCTACCCCAAATGGGGTGAGCTGATTCGCGAGCGTACCATAGCCATCTGGGTTTAGCAGGCGTTGCTAGAAACATTCCCATCAACGGGGAATCGTGGGATTTGTGCGCGTATTTTTCTGTGTGTCCCCGGGCCCCGTCACTGCCGCGTAGACCTCCAGGGAGACCAAGCCATGGCGAGAGCGAAGACGGAGTCATGGTGGCGGTGACGGTGGCGGCAGTGGCGGCCCTCCAGAGGCCCCCCAGGGGCGCTGCCGAGCGGGCCCTCCAGAGGCGAGCAGAGAGCAGCCCCGCAGGCGGCCGGCGCCTGGTCTTCAGGGGAGGACGGTGGGAGGGAGGAAGAGTGGAGGAAAAGTGGAGGCAGGAGGTAAGTATGAGGGAAGAGGGCCAGATGATGACGATGAGGAGGACGAGGAGGATGAGGATGAGGATGAGACGGCGGATGAGGATGAGGATAACGATTAGAATGCTGATGCTGCTGATGATGATGGTGATGATGATGCTGATGCTGCTGCTGCTGCTGCTGTTTATGATGATGATGATGATGATGATGATGTTGATGATGATGATGGTGAGATGATGATGTTGATGCTGATGATTATGCTGATAATGATGCTGATTATGACGATGCTTATGCTGATGATGACGATGCTGGTGACGATAATGACGATGATGACGATGATGATGCTGACGACGGTGATGATGATGGTGATGATCGTGTTGGTGTTGGTTGTGATGATGATGATGCAAATGGTGATTGTGGTGGTGGTGATGATGAGACTGACGATGACGATGCTGGTTGTGGTGACGATGACGATGACGATGATGATGTTGATGATGCTGTTGATGACGATGATGGTGACGATGACGACGAAGATGATGATGATGCTGATGATGATGAGGCTGATCATGGAAATTAATGATGGTGGTCATGATGGGGCTGATGATGACGATGCTGGTTGTGGCGAAGATGATGTTGACGATGCTGATGTTGATGACGATGACGATGACGATGACGACGACGATGCTGATGCTGGTGGTGGTTGTGATAATGATGATGATGTTGATTATGGTGATGGTCATGATGGTGATGATGATGCTGCTGATGATGATGATGATGATAATGACGATGATTATGATCATGGTAATCATTGGTGATCAAAGTGAGGATGACGATGATGACGATGATGGTTATACTGACTATCATTCGGATGAGGATGAGGATGAGGATGATAATGATGGTGGTGGTGGTGATGGTGGTGATGATTATGGTGATGATGGTCACTACCATGACGATGGTGATGGCGATGGTGATGGCGACGACGACGACGACAACGATGATGATGATGATGATGATGATGATGATGCTGATAATGATGACGACGATGCTGCTGCTGCTGCTGATGATGATGATGATGGTGGTGGTGGTGATGATGATGATGATGGTGATGAGGATGGTAAAGGTCGTGGTGATGATTGTGGGTGTTCGTGATGACTCATGGAAGAGGGGGACGAGGAGGATGAGGACGAGGAGGGTGATGCTGATGCTGATGCTGATGCTGATGCTGATGCTGATGCTGATGCTGCTGATGATGATGATGATGATGAGGAGGAGGAGGAGGAGGAGGAGGAGGAGGAGGAGGGGGCGGAGGATGAGCGTGAGTTCGTTGCCCACTTCCTGGGGCCAGGGGAGGGGTCTGTCAAGGGTCGCCAGCCCACCGCGCGAAGGAGCAACCAGACGAGGAGATGGGCGACGCAGAGGGTCCTGAGGACAGCTCGTTGCGGTCGTCGCCGTTCGCCGTCGCCGCTGCCGCCGTCGTCGTCACCGCTGTTTGCCGTCGTCGCCGCCGTTCGCCGTCGTCGCCGCCGTTCGCCGTCGCCGTTCGCCGTTCGCCGTCGCCGCCGCCGCCGTCGTCGTTGCCGCCGTTCGCCGTCATCGCCGTCGTATTCGTCCCCGTCTGCTGCCCCTCCTCCTTCTCCTCTGTCCTCCTCTTCGTCGTCGGTTCCCCCCTTTGCCTCTGCAGTCGCTTCTGCTCTTGCCGTCGCCGCTGCTGCCCCCCCCCCTTCTCTCCCCTGCTTTCTCCTCCCTGCGCTTCCATGCTCACCCTTCCCCGTCTCCTCTCGCCTCATACTCCCCGTCTGCCTTGTCTGTCCCCGCCTCTGGCTCACCCCCTCTCTCAACCCCCATCTGGCCCCCCACTTCCCCTCGCCTTCCTCCTGTTGCTTCTCTTCGTCTGGAGCCCACTGCGATGGCTCCTCCTCCCGATCCTCCTGCTCCAGCGTCTCGTCCTCCTCCTCCTCCTCCGCTCCCTGCTTCCTCCTCCTCCCGCTCCATGCCGCTCCTGCTCCCCCCCGGCATGAGCTGAAGGTTTCCGCACGGTGGAGCTTTCGCGGTCTGATGATCCGAGCCGGTCCGATCCAGAAGCTCACTGTCTGCATCCCGGTCCAGAGGAGGAGGAGGAGGAGGAGGCGGAGGAGGAGGAGGAGGAGGAGGAGGAGGAGGCGAGGAGGAGGAGGAGGAGGAGGAGGAGCAGTTGGAGGAGCAGGAGGAGGTTCGCAGGCTCCAGCGGGTCATCGAGAAGAGCCTCAACGATCTAGATTGGAACTCCGACCTCTCCCAGGCCGAACAAAACAGTCTTTGGGATGGCCTCAGTGTGCGATCAGGCCACCCCTTCGAGTATCATGACCTGTTAGAGCAGCAGGTCCAGTTTTCGAGCGGCAGGCGTTGCAGGACGCCCAGCGTGGTTTCGCCGACTGGCTGGAGACCAGCCTCAAGCAAGGGGGCGGAGCCGCCCATGCTTTCACGAGGGAGGTGGAGGTGGAGGTTACCACGGAGGAGGCAGACAACTTCATCCTGGAGGAGGAGGTTTTAACGGACTCCGTGGACATCCTCAAAGCCAAAAGTGAGTTTTGGAAACAATACTGGGACCCAGAAAGTATTCGGGACACCACACAGATCTCAGAATCCTGGATCCAGGACGTTCGGCAGGAGGCCATGGAGGAGAAGAACATGGAGGAGCCTTGGACGGAGGAGGAGGTTTTCCGTGCAGTCAAGACCTTCCCACCGCACTCAGCCGCGGGCTTAGACCAGTGGAAAGTGCGCGATTTCCTCAGGCTCCCGCAGCCAGGCCGAGCCGAACTAGTTGCGGTGTTGAATACCATCGAGGCCGAGCAGGCCATGCCAGCCCAGTGCTTAGGGAACCTTGTTGCGCTCAAGCCGAAGTCAGTGACGGCGGACAGGCCGATCACCCTCGCCACATCCCTCTACCGCCTGCTCATGCGCCCCAAGAGGGGGAAGATCAGCAAGTGGGAGGTGGAGAAGGCAGGACATTGGGATGCAGCAATCAAAGGGTCCAGCTGCCTGCGATCAGGGATCCTATCAGAACTTTTTGCCGAGATCGGGACAGAGCTCCAGATCAAGATCGGCGAAGGGCTTTTGGACATAGAGAAGTTCTATGACACCATCCACACCCCCACCCTAGCCAGGAAGGCAAAGGAAATGGGGTACCCCGTGATCTGCCTCAACCTTGGGAGGATGACCCACCTGGCAGTTCGTTTCCTCACTACAGAAATGGGGGTCAGCGATCCAATCATTCCTCAGCGTAGTATCCTTGCGGGGTGTGGACAGAGTGTCGCCTGGACGAGGGTCCTGCTGCACGACCTCCTACACCATGCACATCACCGCTTCCCACGGTTTTCTATCCGTACATGGGTTGATGATCTACGCACGCGCATGGTGGGCTCCAGCAGGTCCCTTATCGAGGATTTCCCCGAGGCCATGAAGTTCCTCAAAGCTGGGTTGGCGGATCTTGGGTGCAGGCTCTCCCCCAAATCCACCCTCCTCGGGAACGACAACGGGATCAGACATCAGCTTCTCCAGCGCTGTCATGAAAAAAAGCGTTCCCCTACAAACCAAGTTATGCACCAAGGACCTCGGCTTGGACACGACCGCGGGGAAAAGAAGGCTCCTCAAGGTTCGGAGAGCTCGGCAGCGTCTGGGGTTCAAGAGGCACCAGAATATCAAGAGGCTCCTCAGGGTCACCAAGAACGTCCATCGACTCTACTGTGCAGGCGCACAACCACAGCTTCATTGGGGCCTCGAAGGTCATGGCGTTGCCCCTACCGAGCTCACCCGTCACAGGAGGGCGGCGGGGGCAGCGCTAGGCGTCAGCAAGTCAGGGAGCTGTCTCACAGCAGGGCTCCACCAAGCCAAGCTGCCGCCCGACGCCATCAACCCCGCCAACTTTTGGCGGCCCCGTTTCTTCGAGACATGGTTCGAGCTGGTGGCGGCGGAGCCCCGCCTCAGGAGCGGCATCGCAGCAGCCTGGCCGAATGTCGCTGAGAAGCTCCAGCGACCCAGGCGGTGGAATAACGTAGTCAGCCACCTCAGTGCAGTCATCGGGGCCCTCCTGGACCTCGGGTGGAGCCCAGACGCAGCGTGGTCCTGGACAGGGCCTACAGGTGAAGTTTTCCCAGTCGGCCCAGAGAGGTACGAGGGGCAGGATTACTTTCTTTGCAGACTTCAGCAGTTCCTTCATCACAAGGTATGGGGATGAGCTCAGGGAGGGCATGCCGCAGGAGGATGCCAGGGAGGAGTAGACATCAAGAGCTCGCGCTGGCAGATCGAACGCCTCTACCGAGATGGCCAAGCCAACCTCGCGAAAGCAATCGAGGCAGTCGGCAGTGTTGCCGCCTGGAGCCCGAGGCGGCGCTACGGGGCAGGCCTCACAGAGGAGGCCACCTGCCCGCTGTGCGGCGACCACCATTGCGATGCGTGGCACAAATTCTGGGTGTGCCCCCTCCTCGAGCAAGTCGACCACCCCCTCATCGAAGCCACGCAGGACCTCCGAGACCTCGCCCAGGGGGACAATCAACCCGAATGCCTTTGGCTCCGCGGACTGATCCCAACTGAGTTAGCCCTGAAAGCAGTAGAGGAGCTGACGCCTAGGCACCCCGTCCTGCATGGGACTGGCGCTTTCCTTGACCCTCCAGAGGCGAGGGGCGGCTGGCACTTCGGCGCTGTGGATGGCTCAGGGGGTGCTTTCTCGGCTGATCCCCGCCTCAGGCGAGCAGGATGGGGTGCGGGAGTTTGGAGTCCAGATTTAGCCCCCCTCGGCATTCTCCAATGGAATGTCGTAGGGGCCCAGACTATACATCGAGCCGAACTCAGAGGGGCCATTGAGCCCCTTCCGTCACACCAAAGGTGACCTCTTGGTGGTTACAGACTCAGCGTACCTAATCAAGGGCCACTACAAAGGGCCCAGTATGAGGCAGGCCACCATATGCGGCTCTGGTTTGAATATTGGCGCGTCTTGGGGACTCGAGAGGGCCATTTGGGGCACCTCAAGGTCAATAGTCATGCGACTGTCCCCGAGGTGCGCGCGCGTTTTCCCGAATGGGCCCTTTTTGTCAATGACCAGGCAGATCGGCTCGCGAGCGAAGCCGCTGCCCAAGCTGCTGTGTCCGCTGGCCTAGCG